TATATTGCAGCGCTAGTTTGAAAAGTAGTTTATGTTTCTGCCTTTTTAGCAAAGCTAAAGTAGCAGGCCTGAATTTCTAGCTATTCGGCACAAAGTAACGAGTAAAGTATTCAACGCGAAGGGCTTATTACCTCAAAATATCAAAAGCAAGGGAGCTTAAAAGCCCACTTTTTTTCTTATATTGCTGACTGGTAGGATAAACAAATGCACATATTTAACTGTACATGCAAATGCACTATGTGTACAAGCATTTGTTTGTATTGCAAATGTTGCCTACTTTTTGGAGAAATTTGTGCTGAGCTTTTCATATGCTGCGATTTATAGTCAAGCCTGCTGTAAAGCGTGGAATGCATTTAGGCTTTCACTATTTCGTTATTACAGTGAGTTTACTAAAAAAAGTGTTCCAGTGCCGAATGAAAAGAGAAAAATATTTATTACTTACAAAAATTAAAAGCCCTTAGATGCAAGCGTATCATTTTTCCGCCAGAAAAAATTACATTCGCTGTTGAAAATTTACCTCTTTACAGAAAATTCACAGAAAATATTTCCACAAGAAAATCTTGCTTTTAAATTTTCAAAAAGAAACTCTTTTCAATTTTCTTAAAATCATATATGAATTTACTAAAAAGAATATCATATTAATTGCATGTGGAAAGTCATTAAAATTTTTACTTGATCTTAGAGCTGACACGCAGCGGGTCTTAGTTTTTATGTCAACTCAGCGCAAATTTTACTTTTACAATTTTTTAATATTAAAGAGATATATAATTCGTTCTTGATTTAGTAATCTTCTTGAAGAAAAACTATCTATGCTTTATTTTATGAGATAGCTTTTCTTTTGAAAATTGTATTCTTTGTTGTAAAAATTCAACTTAACCGAGCATCATGCAGACATATTCATCTTTGCTCTGTCAGAACTAGAGGTGTGCGCAAATGGTTTTGCTTTGATTGTACACTACTGTACAGTATAAGAAATGCAGTAATGAAGCAAATTCTCGTTACAGTAAATGAAGTGAAACTCAATGCTTGCCCGTCATCAAAACAAACACTATGGTGTTGCTGCTAGCTACAGTTACTGCAATGACATTATTTATACAGTGAGTGCAGTAAACAAATTGGGTGTGCAGTAAGCGGCAGTATTGTGTTCCTTGTTAGCCATTTTATGTTATTACGCCGTGATACAAGTCTTAAAAATTATTTTAATACATACGTACATAATATATATACGCACTTATATGTATGTACATGTTTTTTATTTTCGTCATGGATACTGATGACATTATTCAACATTTTCAACTAATGTACTTACACGGTTATAGTAACCTATTATCATGGCAAATTTATTAAAAAAGCTATACAATTTCAATTACCACTTTTAATACAGTAACAGCTACAACTTTTATTAAAAAAAAATCGATTTTTTACTGTTATTTTTCGACTTTTACTTCATTACACCTTAAATAACAGTGATTTCTGACTTTTGTTTTATAAATGGAAAATAACAATTATTTTTTATTTATATCTTAATTATGCAAAATTAAAAAAAAATAACAAATATTTTTGATTTTTATCCAAATAACCTACCATTAACAGTTACTTTTAATTTTTAAATTATATGTCTTAAATAACAGTTATCGAAGACTTTTATTTATAAAAGTCATAAATAAAAATCAGCCACTGACCTTTATTTTTCAAATCATTCTTATAAAAGTCATTTGTATAAGTCGTAGTAGACTTTTGTTTCCCAACACTTTCTTAACTGCGAAAATGTTAATGACTTTTATACGAATGATTTAAAAAATAAAAGTCGGTGACTGTTTTGTATTGTTGACTTTTAAAAGTAAAAGTCCATTTACTGATTTTATTGATGACTTTTATGAATAAAAGTCTGCAATAACTGTTATCTAAGACACATAATATAAAAACCAAAAATAATTATTATTTGGGATTGATAATATAAAAATCAACAATAATTGTTATTTTTTTTAATTTTGCATAAAAATTGCAAAAAAAGTTATTTTCAAATTTGAGTCTCGGTGAAAAAAGAAATCCATTTTTATGTATCACTTAGTTGTAGAACATTTCCTCCATAGTTAATTTTCCAATGACATTTTTCATCAATAACTGTTATGTTCGGTCCCTGCTATTAAGGAATCCAAAGTTAAGAATAGCGGGGGTAAGTAGTTGAAAATTTTAGGTACAATGATACATACAGAGATGTTTACTTCGTTCGCTGAATTGCAGACTGTTTATCCAATCCAATGCAGTAGTCGGCAATAGTCAGTAAGTGAAGTAGTGCTTGATGCTTTGTCGAAGCAATGTTTTGATTCCCTCTTTGCAGCACTCTGTTCAAATGTGCCGCCGACAGTATTTGAAATATGCTTGGGGAGATTTTGAACTAAAGAGCGAAAGAGCCAGCTCTTTTAATTGAACTAGTTCATTAGTTCCTTCATTTAAGTTAACTAAACTTTTCTGTGGCAAGACTCTAATGAAATGGAAATGTTAGCTTTACAACACATATGGGAACTCGTTTTTCGTTGTAAGAGCATAAGGAAACAGTTGATGGGAATTAACGCCAAAAAGACATTTTCGAAAATATGCATAAAACCTACACAATTGCGTTTTCTTAAAATTTCAAACCTTTTACTCGATTTGTTCAAGTAAATTTAAGTGAAAGGTATGAAATTTTAAGTAAAACTAATTGTTGTAAAAGGTAAGTAAGTTGAGCTTTTGGTATACATATGTTGTTAGAAAATAAAATTAAATGCAGCACTGCTGAATTTCCATAATCGTCTTTTTCGTGATTTTGGTGAAAGACGACTGAATTTTGTGATTATTGCAATCTTTTGTATGTATTTATGTATGTGTTATAAAACATACATTTTTATTGTTCTGTGACTTAGCACTTACTACGGAACTAGTTTAATTAGGCGAACTATAATACAATAAGGTGTACAAACTAACACTGAGAAGAGTTAGTTCAATGAGCTGAATGAACTAAAAGTGAACTAATATTTAATGTGACCTAAAATTCCAACTCTAATTTGAAAGCTCTGATTAAGTGAAGTGAAGTATAGCAAAATTAGCAAATGTTTTGAACAGCCCTTCAAAGCCCTTCATGCACACCTCTAATCAGTGCCATGAAATTGAGATGAAACTGGTCCAGAGTTGTTGAAATTTAAGTCCTTTTTGGGAAATGTGCTTGCGATTTTTTCTTCTTCATTTTCTGAATTTGTTTTCTATAGTCATATGTTCCGAAATCCAGCTATCACCAAAAAGCAAACATTGGCATGTGAAGTTAGGTTCGGTTATGTTGGCTAGAAACACCTGAGAGGCCAAACCGCAGCCTACTTGGAATTTGACCCCCACAGAGGATGTACTGCGAGCAGTCTGTTGATCGTTCTGGATCTACTGCCAATATTATCATTTACCCGAGCCAAATTTAATGTGTTTTTATATAGCAGGGTTATTGCGAATATATTTCCGAAATAAAAGTCCTTTCCGTATGATAAGCAAACCGCCTGTCCAAATTAAATAAATTTGGTATCATATGAAAGAGGGCTGAAATAGCTTTTAAACAGAAATAACGAACGACCTCTATTTATATATATATTTTTTTTTTATAATTTAATACTAAAGAAAGGCATATACTTGACACAAATTTTGTTTTATGGTAATTAATTGACATTTTTTATTGAAATATTTTCAATATGTGGCTTTCCTCCTTTAGACATTTCAATTTTAAAGCTAATTAAGTGCTCTTTTATTTGATAACAAACTGGGGTTTGTTTGTTATCCGGAAAAGACTTTTATTTCGGAATAATATTCGCAACAACCCTGGTGTATAGTTCGTGCTCTTTGTTAACCAAACAATTTTTTTTGCGAGTCTGTTGTTAATAATACCATTGTGTCCGTCTGTGTGTAAATCATGCTGCCTTTTACTCTACCACACTTCTTAAGAAAGTTCTGTTCCTGTTCGATAGATCATCTGGCTCATTTATGGCTAAAACTTCTTCCTTAAAAACGCTATGATAATCCGGCAGCTCATGATACACTCACCTATGTAAATTTAAATACACGCTTTTGCAGTAAAGTGATTGCCCCATCACCAGGTTATTAGATCAATATCTAACTGCTCGAAAAAGTATACTTATTTGCAAAACGAAATTATTATTACTTTGCTATTTTTATGCTCTTTTGAGGAGAAATTACATTATATGATACTGGCCGTAATTTGCTAGCATTTGGGTGAAGTATAAGAAAGTAATTGTTGCTTGAAACTAACAATTAAAAAAAAAAACTGCTAGTGATAGAAAAGAGTTGGAATGTGCTTATTCATGACTTTCTTACAGTAAATTTGAGCGCGTGCTCCCACTGCATTGATTTAACGCTAGCTCATGAATCAGTTGTGAAGAAAAAAAGTCAATTTAACTTTATTGAAATAATTTTCTTACCTATAAAGAATAAATAAAAAACTTTCCTCATGACAGCATAATAATATGTCTATTGAATTGCAATATCCATGCTACATATGTCTTCACATTTATTAGTTATGTTTGTAATAATTTTAAATGTAGATTAATCAATGATTGAGTATTAATTTCTTTTGAATATATAAATTGAAATCAAATGGAACAACGCCAATTGCATGCCTTACTACTAACACTTAAAGAAAATCGGGTTCGTGTCTTAAGTCTTTAGTATACTCACCTCACAATTCCGCTTTTAAAAAATAATCCATAACTAAAAGCGGTAATATTCACATTTGTACTTTATTTAAACGTTTGCTGGCTGGCCCGCTACGATACGTTAATTACCATTTCAACTACATACAATTATTAAACTAAATATCCTTAGAAAATATATACAAAAGAATCATTTAATTACATTAGCATAACCATAGATAATTAAGTAGAAACTAATAAATCTAACACTTATTCGAAATATGCAATAAACCCTGACTCATTGACTATTGTCTTATATGTATGTATATGGTCGCGTTCCACTCCAATCAACTAGTAAGGATTAATTGCTGGATATCTAGTTGGTAACATGGCAATTGGACCCTTATTGCTAAGTTCATTTTCCGATTCAGAGTCTTGTGTAGACGCATACGTATTATAGGGATCACTTCTACTGGTCCAGCCGTGTCCACCACTCACAACTCCTTGGCTGCTGCTGGCTCCATCATAGCCATGCACTTGACCGCCATGTATGTGTAGATGTATTTCTTTCGTTGGCTGATGTTCGTGTCCATGCGAATAAGAGGCAGCTGGCGCTGAGGCGGCCCAACCACCAGTTACTGGTGGCGTCCAACTTTGATAATTCCATGAGGGCCCAGAGTGTCCATGGCCACCGAAGTCAGATTTCAGCGTAATAAATTTCGCCAATATGGCAGCAGCATTCATTAGGACAAGCAACTTGACCAGGAATAGCGTTTTCATGCCGAGCATTATGAGGAAAGCGACCATAGCGGTGAGGATGCCAAATTTGAAAATGAGGGGAATCAGAGCCATTTGTAGGCGGCGAATTTTTCCGAAAGTGCGACTCTCTGGAAAGAAAAAAATTACAAGTAATAAATATTAAGTGCTGATATTTATTCTATTTTAAATAATTTGTGTGTAATTTGTCTCTACATGATAAATTTGGTATGTAAAAGTAAACTGAAAGTGTTTAATTTTGCACACATTAGGAGAGGAATCTGGTTACCTTCCTTTATATTCGTAAAAAAAGAGGAAATTTTAAACGTTTTAAATATGTGTATACTGTGAAATAGAGAACAAGAAATTTTTAGATCTCAACAAGCAAATTTGAAAATTGTTCTACGCCACACATATCGGTCGTTTAATAATATAGTGATGTAACTCAAAATTTACGTTTTTGGAGATTTTAAGTTTAATGAATTATTAAAATATGAGCATCAATCGAAGGGGGTTTGAACATATTTTTATTTCTGGACTCTATTTGGCGGGGTTGCCACATGTTTGAAAATTAAAATTCCCCTTAAATCATTATTTAATTAAAATATGTATCGCAGTGTCCGGCGAAGGAGAGTTAACAATGAATAAACTTGAAAATACTTGTGAAGAGGGCTGCCACCTGTGTAAATTAACTAATTCAAAAAGTATATGAAACACAAAAATACCGTAGTGAAACGAAAGAATGTTAAGAAATCTTGACTTTGAATGTTTGAAGAGAGTTGTCACGTGTTAATAAAGTTACATTCAAATTATTTAGTAAGGTGGCTGAATTGCTAAAAGATGGGTATAAACCGAAATGGGTTTGAAAGAGATTTATTCCTGCCCTTAATTTAGGAGGGTTGCCATTTGTTCGAACATGTGTATCACAATGTCAGATGAAACAGATTTAATTTTATTTGTCAATGTTATTTGTCAATGTTATTGTGGCTTTTCAACATTTTATTTTTAATATTTTATTGAGCTTTGTACCACGATTGTTTATTAGGAAAAATTGAAAAAGCAACAAAGTCTAAGCGGTAGAAGTTATAGCACTATTTCGGAGATCACCACATCTCCTCATCAGACTTCTTTTTT